TTCATATCCATCTGGTGCTTGTTAGCTTGCTAACAAAGCTAATGTTTTGACTAGACCAGATCAAACACTAGATCGGGTCGGTTTCAAGTCGACCAGGGAAAAATGGTCAGGTCAAAATCATTAGCCCAAACTCGACATGACACACTAGCATCCAGGCAATTTCTTGGATTTTCCTATTTAGTTCAAGTTTTTTCAGGTTGGATCAGGTCATAGATCAAAAAAATCATGGCCCAAACCTAACCTGACACACTGACAGGTTGGGGTTTTTTTTTCCAAACGGGTTGGGTCGAGTCTAACTTTAGGTGAGGGTTCTTTGAGTAGGAGGGCCGCATACTCGCATATGGTAGGAATAACACTTAAACACGAGGAAAACGTGGAGATCTAACTCGATGCTGAAGTTACCAAACTCTAGAAATTCTATGGCAAGCTTATTAGGGACAAGCCAAATCACCCATGAGATTTAGGACTTGTTTGATCTCACTCCATAGTGAGAATATGGATTCTAGAAGTGAATATAGAATCTAGATTATGGATTAAAAAATAAGGAGTATTTGGATCCCATTCTTATAGTGATTATTGTTTGTCTATGGTGGAAATCTCTAAATACTCCCTCTGTCATGAAATACAATATATCCTAGGAATTCTAGGACATATTATGCAGTAAACCAAATGACACATATAACCCTTCATGGTTGTTAATGTGGCTGGAAGTAGAAATTAATGGTAGATATTCATGTGAATGTTACCTTTTTAATATGACTAGGAGGGTTAGTTCATCTAGAATCTCTTATAATTTAAAATAAATTTCGGGTGCTTGTATATCTTGTATTTTAGGATGGAGGGATTAGTAAATTTATAGGAGATAGTTGGACTCTAAAATCTCATTATAGAATCCAAGCGCTTGGATCTCATTCTTATTTTCTCTTAAGGGATTCAAACACGATTTTAGCGAGTTTATTATGGATATAAAAATGAATGGACATACAAATACTTTCTATAGAAAGACACTTAGAAGGGTGCCTCATGGCTAATAGTATATTTTAAGCAAAACAAAGGACCATCTTAGTCCTGAGTTACGTCGTCTTACTCCTACGGTGCGGATCAGCTCTATTATGTTGCGAGATACTACTAGTACATTTCTGAAGCGAGCAACAATTTCGCGTCAAGTGCTGCTCCCCCCAATAACTTGGCGAGGTCGCTTTCGTAATTAAACGAGATACCCCATGTCAAAAAGGAACATCAATTGGTTTTTGAATATGCAGACACACACATGGGAGAGGAATCGTCGGTCAGAGTTGTGTCCGGATCACCGTCAAGCGAGATGTTCCCTGCTTTATGGGTTGTCTCATGCCACCAAACACACGGACGTTTTAAAATATGCGCGCTACTAGCTGCTGCGTGTCTTTTTGCCACTTGCAAATTTCTTACGCGTAAACAAGCACGGCTCAGATGGGCAGGCCTGATGCGGTGGTGAGAGCTCTCTCATTGAGTCATCAGGTCGTTGATTCGAAGCAGCGTCTTCGTAGATTTTACGGGGAAAGACTTTCTCTTGTTTTTTTTTCTCTTCCCAGACCCCATTTCCGCTTTAAATTAAAATAAAAATACCGTGAGTACGCAGCAGGTAGTAGTACTAATACCTCCGCTGCGCGGCATGATTTTCGCTTGAACTTATCAGCCCATATCGTTTCAACGAAATAACAGTGTTTTTCTCATAATAAATTAACATCAGCGTGAGTATCAACCGTTTTTTCAGCCAGCCAACGTAACATCGTTTGAGGACGTGCGTGGTACTGGTATCGTATCGCATTCCTATATATGCCGATCGATTGCCGCCCGGTCAGCGACCGGCATCTGCGAAAACAAAGGGGGTTCCTTGTTGGACATGCATGGGCTTTGTCTCGGTTGTCCCCGAACACCGACCCTTTTTATGCCGCTCCGTGTCTCTCTGTCGCCAGACGATCTCGCTCTTGTGGTTGGTTGTCACAGGATGCACGTACTGCGGCCGGCCGCCGGACAAGTCACGCATGGCATGCATGCACGAGTCCGAGTGGGCATTACTGGCTGCTGGGACGCTGGGTCGATTCGTTCGCGCCTTTGCTGCTACTTGCGCCAGCGATGATCTCCGCCCGCATGATGGCATCACATATTTTTCACAGAGCAATGCTAGTAGACGGTAGTGTGCGGGTGGCTGCCGCGTCCTGTCGTGGCAGTGGCACCACCAGCGCATGATCATCTCGGTGCGGCGCGGCGACTCCCGTCACGGCAGAAATGAGGAGTCGTAGTAGCGCCGCGCGACGCGATAAAGAAAGCGCGGGTTGGGGCGCCTCGGCAACAAAGGCAGGGAGAGCGACCGATCCCTCTATGGGATAGGCTATGGGCGATCGATGCGAGCGATGCCCTGCCTAGTGCCCTGACGGCGACGCGCGCGGGGCCGAGGACGGAGCCACGGAGGACAGGGGCGAAGCTACATGCCCCCCCCCCCAAAATTGTAAAAACAATGATTATGTCTAAAAATTCACCATATATGCACCCCCATGAAAGATGTCTATGCACATACAAGCTAAGTACACCCCCTCTAATTTGCTCTAGCTTCGCCACTGACGGAGAACGATCGGACCGGACGGGATCTTGGGAGAAGACGCGTGGCGGCCCACCTGGCCTCTATTTTCTCGGATTCTAAGTAGTGAATGTAGAATCTGGATTCTAGTCTAGATTAAAGAATAGGGATGATTGGGTCTCATTTTTATGTGATTGTTGTCTTTGCATAGTAAAACTCTCCTAACAGTCAGAGGAGATTTGTGGTAGATAGTTAGATTTTTTTAATCTCATTCGCACTTTTTCTCTCTCGCATTCTCTTTTTTTCCCCTTAGGAGGTCTAAACAAGGCCATCCTAATAACTATAATGGACACGATTGAGTCCTGTTCTCCCCAAGTCAAAGCTGTTAGATCACTAGTGGCTAGCTTGGTAATGATGACACTGACGGTCATAGATATTGTTATATGTTGTAGGTATGGAGACGTGGCTAATGTTTGTATGGTTTTTTACACGATTTTTCATGTAAATTGAGTTAATTCTTTTCTTATTGTTAATATAAGCTAAATAAAATTCCAAATCTTTCAGAAAAAATGTAATTGACCTTTCACGATACTCACGGAAGGGTATATGTTGGTCCCAAAGGGAGATGCATGTGTTTGGTTCTAGGGTTGAATTGGATTTGGTTAAGACAGGCCCATTTTCACTTGTGTTTGGTTTTGAGATTAGCTCGATTGGATTCATCCCACACTGGAATACTCCAGAAAATGTGTGTTCGATCTGCCCGCTCAAACGAAGAAACTAGCTCGACCTAATTCTTTGTTGCTCGCGGCTTGAGCGAGTGGGGCAGTGCACCTATTGCAGCGCGACAGCGACACAATCTATGCGAGTAGTAGCGATGGTTTGGGCAAGTGGGGGGCATCACGCTTGGTGCAGTGGCAACGACGTGATCTAATCAAGCAGCAACGGTGACCTAGGAAGATCACCTGAGCAAGCAGGGCGGCGCACATGGCAGGGAGGTGGTGAAGCGACCTAGGTGAGCGGAGGCAGCGCGCATGGGCGAGCAGCAGCGGCTGTGCAGCCTAGGCATACAGGGGTGACGGCGGTGCAGCTTGGTGAGGCAAGTTTGGTGGCAGTGTGACGAGGACATCACTCCTTCTGTTGATCCTCTAACCTCTATACAAGGTTCAATGACTAGAGCTCAGATGTGACAATTTAATCTAGAGGTGAGCTCATCCTTAAGCGATCCATTTCATCGTTCTGAGAATATATTAATACCTAGTGATGTTATCATGCTTAGGAACATTGTAGATGATCATGAAGTACTTGGAGAGGTAAGAAGATGGAGAAGACCAGAAAGGATGTCCAAGTCAAGCGAGAGGTCCAATCCAACTGGAGTTCATGTCTACTTCGGCCTACAAGGGCCAGCCTGTAGTAAAAAACGACGCCCAGGACGCATGCGAACCGTGCGATAAACACCTTTTCGGCACTTTCGATGTTTGTGCTATGTGCGCATCTTAGTGCTGCGGTGCTTGGCTATCTTTTACGGCAACATATTTCTTGCTCTAATTGCCTCAGTTTTATCCAAGCTGAGTTTTTCCCCCCATGACCTAGGAGAGCCAAATTATCTCACTATAACGAACAAGGTTATCCTTACCTGGCTAAGCAAGGCTAGGCAAAACCGGCTGTCCATCCATCCAAAAGTTCCAAACGTTTAGTAGATATTCGTATTCGAGGAGGAAGGACAATGCAATACAGTAGCAAGCAGCATCCATCATAGCGTCTCCTGTGGCCAACCACAGGCTGACACGCACGCCAGCTACGCGATTAAAAAAAGGGCCACAGAGATGACACCCTCCTCCGCAGCAGGCAGCAAAGGATCCGCCCCGCCCCCAATGCCCCAACACGAATATTTATTGCGTCCACCCCTTGCCTGCAGGAGCCAGACAGCCCCACCCAGCCCGAACCCCCTTCGTCCCCTCCCGCTCCCATCCGGCCCAAGCCCAGCCCACCAGCCCGCCCGCCCGCCCGCCCGCCTATAGTAGTGAAATAATTGCGCCCCCTCCCTCCCCGCGGTCGCCTCACTCACCGCGGTAATCTCACCGCCGGCTTCAAGCCGAGCAAGCGACCAACAAGCTGCTCACACACAGAACACACAAACGCACCACCACCACCACGACGCCGCGGGCGAAGTGACGTCGCGTTCGGCTCCCTCATAAATCTCGCTCCCCCTTCTCTCTCCACCCGAGCCCAGCAGTAAATTTTTTTGGGGAGGTGAAGCGAGCGGAGCAGGAGGAGGGAGAGAGAGAGGGGGAACGACGAGGTCGGCCGCGGCGAAATCGGAGGGGAATTCGGGGGGCGGGGCTCGGTCCGGCCGGGAATTCGCGCGATTCGGGCGCGGGTTTGCGGGAGCGGAGGGTGAGCGCGCGCGCGGAGGCGCCGCGGATGTGAAGATCTGGTGCTCGGGATGACTTCCTCGGCGGCGGCCGCCGCCCAGGCGGCGGGAGGTGGAGGAGGAGGCGGCGGAGGCGGCGAGGGGAGGCTGGTGCCGGTGCCGCTGCTGCGGCGCGAGGTGAGTCGTGGTGCTCTCTTGGTGGGCGTCTCCGTGTGTTTGGGTTCTCGGCGGGTTTTGACGTGGGCCTTTGGCTGGGCCTGTGTGCTCGCTCTCTCCTCCCTCGCAGGCGGAGGTTGCGGCGGAGGCGGAACGGAGGACGGCATGTACACGGAGCTCTGGAACCTCTGCGCCGGCCCGCTGGTCACGGTGCCCAGGGTCGGGGACAAGGTCTACTACTTCCCGCAGGGCCATATCGAGCAGGTGAGCTGCCCAATTCGAGTATCCTCTTCAGGCCGCCTCTTCCGCCTCTACGATTTCGCGTCGGGACTTCCGTTTCGCGCGGTTGTTTCCAGGGTTCGTTGTGTGTGGCGTCTCCGGTGACCAGCCAGGGTGGTGTTTCTGCGGGCCGGTTCAGCGGAATTCCGCTTCTCATGGCGCAATTCTGTTCGCGAGAGCTGTTCTCGTGGGACTGTGGAGGGTTTTGCACCATTTCGTCCACTTTTGGGTCCTGCTGCGGTGCCTCCAGTCTTGGTGGGTTCACTGGCCTGCCGGCGAATCAAGCGGAGTTTACTTAGTCGGCTCCGAAAATTTAGGCTTCCGCGTCTAAATTTAGCTGTACTGGTGTAAATTCTTGATTTCCCTCATAATTTAGCAGGCTTGTTAGTGGCTTTTAGCGCGATCTTTGTTTACTTTTGCACTCGAGCTCGGAGATGGTCGCCGAGTTGTTCTTGTTGCTCAACCACGTTCTCGTTTGGGAAAATAGTTGTTCCTGTTGCTCAACCACGCTCTCGTTTGGGAAAATATTAGCTTCACATGTGCCTTCTCTGTGTTATGCCGTGATTTATGCTCTGTATTTTTTTTCCAGTTTATTTGTAGGAAATTTCAATCAGTGGTTGCCATTACATCAGGCTTCTGCCTTGTTAACTTAGCGGATTTATTCATTCCTTCATTATCACTTGTGATCAGCTGCTCGGCTCCGAGTTCCGGCGATTTGGTGGAGTAATTTGTCAGCTAAATTATTCTTGTGGATTTCAGGTGGAGGCATCGACCAACCAGGTGGCTGAGCAGCACATGCAACTTTACAATCTCCCATGGAAGATCCTGTGTGAGGTTATGAATGTTGAATTGAAGGTACTTAAACCGCCTCTTGTTGCAAATGTGACCTCTGCCTTTCAACCAATATGTGTGCTTGATTGATGCCAATTTGTCGGGCAGGCTGAGCCGGACAATGATGAGGTTTATGCCCAGCTCACTCTGCTACCTGAATCGAAGGTGAGTGATGTTTTTAGCTGTCACACTCTGCTCCATCTGAATCTTGATATGAAGCGTCTAAACCAGCACCATTTGTGCATCTGGCCCTGATGTAGCAGCCAGAGGAGAATGGCTCTAGTGAGGAGGAGATGCCTGCTGCACCTCCTGCTGCACTTGCAAGGCCACGTGTGCACTCCTTCTGCAAGACATTGACAGCCTCTGACACCAGCACACATGGTGGTTTCTCGGTGCTGCGACGCCATGCAGATGAATGCCTTCCACCGCTGGTTAGCTTGCTGGATCGTTAACTTGATGTTGCCAATACAGCAGTTGTAGGTTTGTTATTTGTTGCTTTAGTGGTAGTGGTAATCTTTGCTTTGGCTTCATGGTCAGGATATGAGCCGTCAACCTCCAACACAAGAGCTTGTGGCCAAGGATCTGCATGGTGTGGAATGGCGCTTTCGCCACATATTCAGAGGTGATCGCTCAACATCTTTGTTATTTGACCATATTCCAAGGACTTGTAGTCCTCTTTGCTCATTTGCACCAGTATGCAAGGGTTGCAGACATGGTGCCAGTTTCTGTTTGTTTGTACAGTGTATAAAGAGTTCTTGTGTGCATTAATGACTCCTTAACTTGATCTTAAATTGGTTTAAATGTGCTTCCAGGTACAATGTGTATGCATTATCTTACCTCACTGGCTTCATTGTGGGGGACCAACTTGTGTTTCCATCGTGTGTATTTTGGTTTCTTTCCATGGGCGTGCATTTGATGATGCCAGGATAACCATTTAGTTTTGTCAGTCAATGCATCATCTTACACACTTTAGTTTTGTATAGGACAAGTAATTATTATCACATATCTTTTTGACATGTTAGTTGAGCCAACTAATAAATTTTGTGCTCAGTTCATGTTTGACAACAGATTGTTAGAATGGAGTTGTTGGATCCTTGTTGAAGTAATTTCATGTATGTTTCTGCTACTTTAGGACAACCACGAAGGCATCTTTTGCAAAGTGGCTGGAGTGTTTTTGTTAGTGCCAAGCGTCTTGTCACTGGGGATGCCTTCATCTTTCTAAGGTATGCTTTTGTGACAATGATTAACTTTTGCTATGAGGCTTTTGATCAGACTTGTTGCTGGGTATAACGCCCCCCCAACTGCATAATAAGTATGTTCATGAATGATGTGTGCAGAGGTGACAATGGGGAGCTGCGTGTAGGAGTCAGGCGTGCCATGAGGCAGCAAGCAAATGTTCCGTCTTCAGTAATATCAAGCCACAGCATGCATCTTGGTGTTCTTGCTACAGCATGGCATGCTGTTAACACTGGGACCATGTTCACTGTGTACTACAAACCTAGGTTTGTGCTAAACAAGCCTTGTGCTATTTTATTTCTGATCTAATCTGCAGTGCTTTCATTTAATACAATTGTCTTCTGAATTACTGTTCTCAGGACAAGTCCAGCTGAGTTTGTTGTCCCCTGTGATCGCTATATGGAATCATTGAAACGAAATTACCCTATAGGGATGAGATTTAAAATGAGGTTTGAAGGTGAAGAGGCTCCAGAGCAAAGGTAAGCAATTTTCTGGTGCAATAGTAGATATTTTCTGCTTCACATAGTTGATTCCTCTATTAAAATTGATCTGAAACATTATATTTCTGTACAATTAGGTTCACTGGGACGATTGTCGGAAATGTGGATCCTGAACAAGCTGGATGGGCTGAATCTAAATGGCGTTACCTCAAGGTATTACCCCTTATCAATGACTTGTTTTGTGAACGTTGTTGTGATGTGCTTTCTTGTTATCCAGGTGAGGTGGGATGAAGCTTCCTCCATTCCACGTCCTGAAAGGGTTTCTCCCTGGCAAATAGAACCTGCAGTCAGCCCTCCCCCTGTCAATCCGCTTCCAGTGCACAGACCCAAGAGGCCTCGCTCTAATGCTGTAGCTTCTCTGCCTGAGTCTTCAGCTCCAACAAAAGAAGGTTTGACTTTGTCGTGCGTGCAAAAACTTGTACTCCCTCCATTCCAAATTATAAGTTGTTTTGGCTTTTTTATTAGATACGTAACTTTTGCTGTGTATCTAGACAACCTATATATCTAGGTGCATAGCAAAAGCTATGTATCTAGAAAAAGCCAAAATGACTTATAATTTGGAAGGGAGGGAGTAGGATGTATGGTAATCTTACTAATGCATGTGTTTTACCCCATTCTAGCTGCTCCGAAGGTCACATTAGAGACTCAACAACATGCCCTGCAAAGGTCCTTGCAGACTCAGGATAATGTGGCCCCGAAAAGTGGTTTTGGTGATAACAGTGTGTTGGACGCTGCTCATAAGTCAGGCCTGCGACCATCAGGGTTTGATTTGGAGAAGAGCACGAGGAAGCTGGGTTCAGATAGTTGGATGCATATGAACAGACCTGAGGGTTACAATGAAATGTTATCTGGATATCAACAACCTAATAGAGAAGTACAGAATCCGCAGGGTTTCTGTTCTTTAACTGATCAGATTGCTGCCGGTCGTCCTAATTTCTGGCACACTGTAAATGCTCATTATCAAGACCAGCAAGGCAATCACAATCTGTTCCCTGGTTCATGGCCCATGATGCCTTCAAGTACTGGCTTTGGGTTGAACAGACAGAGCTATCCAATGATACAGGAAGTTGGTGGTTTGTCTCAGAGTTCTACAAATACCAAGTTTGGGAATGGAGTTTATGCTGCACTACCTGGCCATGGCATTGATCAACACTCGTCTGGATGGTTTGGGCACATGATGCCTGGTGCTCGCATGGACGATGCGCAGCCAAGCGTGATTAAGCCTCAACCTTTGGTCCTTGCTCATGGTGAAGCTCAGAAAATGAAAGGCAATTCATGCAAGCTTTTTGGAATTCACCTTGACAGCCCAGCCAAATCTGAACCTTTGAAGTCTCCACCAAGTGTTGCTTATGACGGGATGCCACAAACTCCAGCAGCAGCTGAATGGAGGATGGTTGACGCAATTGAAGCAGACAAATGTTCTGACCCACTTAAGACACCAAAGCAACTTGATGCTACACAGGTAGATCCTGTTGCAGAGAAATGTCCACAAGTTTCAAGAGGCACACAGTGCAAGTCACAAGGTGGATCAACTAGGAGCTGCAAGAAGGTGTGTTTGTCTTGTTACTGTAGCAAGCATCTTCTCTTTTTAATCTCTGACGAAGTCTGTTGAATGAAGGAAGAATTGTAGTTACCTGTAAATCCTTGTTACATATAGTGCTCCGACTATTCTCTTTTTTAGTTTTCTACCAGGGACATGTCTAGTAAAGATTGCTTCTGAAGTACCCTTTGATATGTTTGTTTGCAATGTTCCAAAGCGAGACTAACTTCCAAAGCCTGCTAATTTCCTAAGGCAACATGCAGACATAACTAAATTTCCGTTACTTGCATATTACTCCTTGTTTGGAACTGCATGGTAGATACCATCTGACTGCTGTGGCTGTATGCCCTATCTAAGCACATATACTTGTATCTTACTCCTTGTCTGGAACTGCATGGTAGGTGTGGTCTGAATGCTGTGGCTGTATGCACTAGGCATATATGCAGTACTTTTTACAGAAATATACTTATTTGGTTCATGCACGATGTCTGTTCATTTCAGGTCCACAAGCAAGGAATCGCGCTTGGCAGGTCTGTGGATCTTACAAAGTTCAATGGCTACACGGAATTGATTGCTGAGCTGGATGAGATGTTTGACTTCAATGGTGAGCTGAAAGGTTCTAACAAGGAATGGATGGTTGTGTACACCGACAACGAAGGTGATATGATGCTGGTTGGGGATGATCCCTGGAAGTGAGTAACTGTTGAATATTCCCCTTGTCTTCTTGGTCGATTTATGTAAGCCAAAATCTTGATTTTGCCTCTGTTTGACTGGGCAGTGAGTTCTGCAACATAGTCCACAAGATCTTCATCTACACAAGGGAGGAGGTCCAGCGGATGAATCCGGGCACCCTGAACTCAAGGTCGGAGGACAGCCTTGCTAATTCCATGGAAAGGGGCTCTGCTGCTAGGGAGACACCTGGCAGCCTATCCGCCTCGTCCCTTAACTCCGAGAACTGCTAATGCCTTTGCAGCTGGTAATGCAATCCACTTCACTAGTAGCAGCTGCACCTAGTCTTGATTATAATTCTGAACGATCGTTATACTGTCCATCATTAGTTCCACAATTCTCTGCCTGTTTGTAGTTCGTTTGGCAGGTCGTCTGAAGTAACAACGGAGAGGAAAAGGCAAATGTATCCATAGGTGTCCTAGTGGAGCTTAATGCTTTTCTTTTTTATATGCATTGGACGAGCCCATAGTACCCTAGTATTTATAGATGGTGCTCGTCCTGGTTGGTGGTCTAAGTTGAACCCTCTTATTCGCTGCTGGTTTGGTTTCTCCTTTTGGTGAGGTAAGTTGGTTGGTTCGCTTGTCGTACCACCTAATGTATGCGTAGCAAACTAAGCAAAGCCCTCCCGCGCTTTCCCTTGGCACTAAGCATTGTACATAGCTGCCCACCTGCATCAATCAAGTCTAATATATCATCTGTGTAATCGTCACTGCTGGGTCCCGTGCTTAAAGCCTTGCCGTTGTGTTGCTGTTTGGAGTTGGAGTCATGCCGTTCCTCCCTCCCCCATCTTGGATTGTTGTTTCTTGTTTGTGTAGGTCCTGAAATCAGAGCCTGCACATCGTGTTTCGTTGTAGTTTGAGTCTAGTTTGCGCTTGCAGAATTGGGGCCTTCATCTTTTTCCTGCTGGTGCAGTGATTGACCAATCATGCTCTCTTTCAGCTTAAGGTTCCAGTTTGTTGTGCTGCAGCCCTTGCTTCGTTCTCGGCAATGGGTGTATTGAGTAGCTCAATGTTATCATGGTGTTGTGATCCTGGTGGGTTTTGTTGGCGACTAGGAAGGCACTTGATAGCCACGATGTTGTTGGGTCCCCCTTGGGCGATGATGATGTGTCTTGGTGGCGCGGTGGTGCGAGGTGGCAGTTCGGGTGGAGGGGATGATGTCCCTAACCCTAATGTGACGGACCTTCTGTGGTGGCTTAACTTGACGTCAGAAGAAGAGGCCGTGGCGGATTTCACTGATGATGAAGAACTGGAGGAGCCGACGCCAGTGGAGTGGGTGATCGTTGGGAAGGTACTCTCGCCGACGCCGGTCCATGTGAACACTGTGCGATCGGCGATGAAGCCTGCGTGGGGAAACCCGCTTGGACTCAAACTTTGGGTGATCGGAGAGAAAGGCGATAATCTATTCGTGGCGGAGTTTGGCTGTAGCATCGACATGGAGCGGGTGCTAGCTGGAACGCCATGGATGGTGGGGAGGTATGCAGTGATTCTGTAACCCTACGATGAGAAATTTAGTGCATCGGAGATTGTCTTCGACAGGATGGAAATTTGGGTGCGCATTTTGAATTTGGCACTCGGTCGGATGAACCAAACTAGAGGATTTTGTGCTATGAGTCTGATTGGGCGAGTGGTGAAGTTGGACGTGGATGTAGATGGCAAGGCTAGTGGGGCTTTCCTGCGTGCTCGTGTTGCCATTGACATTGACAAGCCGGTGCGGCGTGGGGTACTTTTGTGCATGAGTAAGATGGAAGACCCGCGTTGGTTCTGGGCCCAGTATGAAAAACTTCCATATTATTGCTTTGGATGCGGAGTGATCGGACACTCGGAGGTGGAGTGCTCGCATCCAGCTGCCCGTGATGCGCACGGCAAGCTGTCGTATGATGTTCAGCTCCGAACACCAGAGGAGAGAAGGAGGCTCATGCAGTCCTTCGTTGGTGCTGCAGCTGAGTCCTATGGCAGTGGCTCTTCCTCGGCATCTAGGCCTCCTAGGGCAAGGCACAACAGGTCTGGGGATGGCCGATCATCTTTGGGTGATGAGGGATCACGCTACTCATCTGGCTTTGAGGAGACGGAAGAAGACCAGGAAGAGCAAGAAGTGAAATCCCCACTTAAGCAGTCAGGGGGAGCTGATAAAGAGAAGGTGAAAGCTGGTTCTAGGGTTAGTAGGCAGCTTGATATGCAACTTGTTGAACCCAGTCGACAGAAGCCAAGGAAGAGGAAGTCGAAAGGGATAAACCCGGGAACACAAACACCAGATCTCTATCCCACTAGAGGGGTCGAACACCATTGTTCCAGTTGGCCTGGTGAACTCCCGAGTGAGCCAACTGGATGTGAGTGCGGACAATACCAGTGATGGGAGTATGATCGAGACACTTAAGAAGCAAAGGAGAGGTAGTACCCAAAATGCACGATGGGCGGCGGCTGTGAGCGATAGCCTCGGCACAATGAAAATCCTATGTTTGAAATGTTGGGGACTTGGGCGGTCCGAGGCAGTTCAAGAACTTTGTAGCTTGTGTGAGCTACATCGCCCATGGGTGGTCTTTCTATCGGAAACACGCTACTTTGATGATAGGGTGGATGGTTTGGTGAGATCTCTCGGTATGGAGGGATGTGTTGGTGTTGGCAGTCTCGACAGAGGGGGAGGGCTGGCCCTTCTTTGGAACCGAGAGGTTGTAGTCAAGCTTGAGAGCTATGATAAACTCCACATCGACATGACAGTTCAGTTGGCAACAAACACATCGATGCCTTAGAGATTTATTGGTTTCTACGGAGAGTCGAGGCGGGAACTCAGGTATAGGAGCTGGGAGCTACTAAAATTACTGAAACCTCGGAGCACACTGCCATGGTTGTGCGCCGGTGATTTTAACGAGTGCCTGGTAGCAAGTGAGCAGATAGGGGGATAGGAGAGGCCGGAGAGGCATATGGATGGGTTCCGTGATGCGGTGTCTGTCTGTGGCTTCACAGATCTGGGCTATATTGGCCTCCCCTACACCTATTACAACCGACAGCCGGAGGGGTGCAATGTGAAGGTCCGGCTGGATAGGGGTTTAGCTAACGCTGACTTCCTGAATCTTTTTAACATTGTCAAAGTGTGGCATGTGCAAACTGACGGAGTTAGATCATTGTTGTTTGATTCTAGAGTGCTCACATGTGGTACAGAGAAGAAACAGAAAAAAGCGTTTGTTTCGCTATGAGAATATGTGGAGGCGGGACTCCTCATATGTGAAGATGGTGGAGTTGGCTTGGGGTGCTCACGATACCCGGCATGTCTAAACCAGTTTGCCGCGAATATTGGCCATGTGTCGAAGGTGATGCAGGAGTGGGAAAGATCCTCCTTTGGATCAGTTCGGCAAGAGCTAGCAAAAATGCGCAGCGAGCTAGAGAATGTGCGACGTCAGTTGTTGCATTCTGGGCCGTCGAGGCAGGAAAGGCAACTGATGGCGAAAATGTCTGAACTTTTGTCAAGAGAAGAATGCATGGAGAAATAACGGTCCCGAATTGAATGGCTCAAGGAGGGTGATCGTAACACAACTTTTTTCCAAGCAAAATCGAAGGAGAGAGCAAAGAGTAATCAAATTACGACTGTAAAAAGAGAAGATGGTTCAGCGGTGTCTACTCAGGAGGAGCTGGAGGTGACGGCCATGGAATTTTATACACAACTATTTACTCGGCAAGAGGTGCTTGATCCGGGCCCGATCCTTAGTTGTGTTCCTACAAAAGTCACTACAGATATGAATGACTTTCTGTTGAGACCGTTCACAGCAGAAGAGGTGCAGGAGGCGTTGTTCATGATGGGTGCAAACAAGGCACCCGGTCCGGATGGTCTAACAGCGGGCTTCTATCAGTTCCACTGGGAAACATTGGGACCAAGTGTCACAGGAGCTGTGCTGGATTTCTTGAATGGAGGTGTTATGCCGGAGTTTGTTAATAGCACTACCATAGTGCTAATTCCAAAGGTCAAGAATCCGCAAGAGATGAAACAGTTTAGGCCAATCTCTCTTTGCAATGTGATTTACAAGATATGTTCCAAAGTCTTGGCCAATAGATTGAGGTCTTGTCTAGATGATATAATCTCTGAGGAACAAAGCACTTTTGTTCCCGGACGCCTAATTACAGACAATGTGTTAGTTGCTTATGAGTGCACTCATTACCTGAAGCGCAAGAAAGGGAAAGCTGGTGCCTGTGCAGTAAAGCTGGATATGGCCAAGGCATATGACCGCGTGGAATGGGAGTATCTCAACGATATTATGGTGAAGCTGGGCTTTCATGAGATGTTCGCTGCACTGATCATGAAATGTGTGATGTTTGTCTCTTTTTCAGTTAAAGTTATTGGGTCAGCTGTCTTCAGGCCTTCTAGGGGGATTCGGCAGGGGGACCCAATTTCCCCTTATTTGTTTCTCCTTTGCGCTGAAGGACTCTTATGTTTACTGAAATCGGTCGGCCTAATGCATCTCTCCAGGGGTGTTCACGTGGGAATCCATGCTCCCTGGGTTTCACATCTTCTTTTTGCGGATGATTGTATCGTTTTTTCATAAGCGTCGCAAAGAGGGGCAGTTCGATTACAGGAAATTTTGGAGACCTGCAATCGGGGGTCTGGTCAGATGGTGAATAAGGATAAATCGGCAGTCTTTTTCAGCTCAAATTGTGATGAGCAGGTGAAGCAAGAATTTAGGCATGAGCTGAAACAGAAGCTTTGTCTGACAAATACCTGGGATTACCAACTGTGGTTGGGAGATCATCTACTGAGGCTTTTGATTTTATGGCAACAAGAATAAAAAATCTAGTTGGTACTTGGAGTGGTAGGGAAGCGAGCTGCGCTGGCCGTGAGGTACTTCTTAAATCTGTGGCTCAGGCAGTCCCTACATACTCTGAGCTGCTTCCTTCTATCCAAGACGACGTGCAAAAGGATAGAGATCAACAATTGCAAATTATTGGTGGGGGAGTTCAGCTGACAATAGACATATTCATTGGCTGAGATGGGATCGGTTAACTCGGCACAAATCCGTTGGAGACATGGGTTTCCGAGACTTACATCTCTTCAACAAAGCAATGTTGGGCAAACAAGGTTGGCGATTGGTGACGTGACCTGATAGTCTATGCGCACGGGTGCTGAAGGGAAGGTACTACCATGACGGTGATTTTATGCACAGCACCAGGAGAAAGCGTGCTAGCCATACTTGGCGGGCAATCCTAGCAGGAAGGGTAGTGCTAGAAAGAGGCCTGATCAGGAGGATTGGGAATGGCGAGCAGACCGACATCTGGAGGGACAGGTGGATACCTGCACATTTTGATGCTCGACCGATCACTCCTGGAGATGGCCAGGCACTAACTATGGTGTCTGAACTCATGACTGAGTCGGGGGTTTAGAATGAGGTACTCATACGCCAGTTTTTTCTCCTGATCGATGCAAGAGCTATCCTCAAAATTCCTATACGACAACAAGATGAGGATTGGTGGGCGTGGGAGCTTGAGAAGCATGGTAACTACTCAGTCAAGTCGGCCTATCGAAAGCTGTATGTGATGAACAGTCGAGGAGATGAGGAGATGCCAAGTGGCTCAGGCGATGATTCCTGGAAGAAGATTTGGAAGTTACAGGTACCTCCGAAAGTCAAGGTTTTCTGGTGTCGAGTTCTACACGAATTCCTTCCAGCAAAGGAGATCTTACATCGGAGACATACTGAGCCAACGGCCTTTTGTGAGTTGTGCGGTGCTGACAGAGAATCAATCAAGCACATACTTACTGAGTGCACTGCGGCAAAGATGTTTTGGCAAGAGGTGAAGATAATTACAGGGGTGAAGCTGCTGAGTCTTCATCCGGTTTCTTGGGGAAGTGACTTGCTGATGGATGAACTGTGCAATGACAAGGAGTGGGCCATTTTCATCATCGGCATGTATTCACTTTGGATGCAATGGAACCAGCGACGACATGGCGATGTTCACAAACCAGTCAGCGTAGCGGTTCGGTGGTCGCTTGATACAGCCCTGGACTTGTGGAATATGAACAAGCCGATGAAACCGGTGAAGGAGAGAAATAGTGTGCAGCGTTGGCGCGTGCCGCTGGTAGGCAGGTTCAAATGTAACACAGACGGTGCTTTTTACCTAGACCAAGGGCAAAGTGCGTCCGGGGTAGCTCTCCGAAACGATGCAGGTCTCTTTGTTGGTGGACAGGTGAGATGGTACCCCCATGGCCTCGATGCATTGACCCTGGAAGCTTTGGCTTGCCGAGATGGTGCTGCTCTAGCTCGGGGCAAGGGGGTGCAACGACTTATTCTGGAGACTGATAGCCAGGAGTTTGTGAAGCTTTGGAAGGAGGGCGCCAATCAACGCTCACGGATTGCATCCATCATCAGAGAAACTCGGGAAATTAGCTCTAGTTTTGTTGATTTTTCTGTGGTTTCCACAAGTCGTTCTTGTAACCGAGTAGCTCATGTACTAGCTAAGCAAGTTTCAGGTGATAATAGGTTGGGTGAGTGGCAGCTAGCCCAACCTGTGTAGATCACCTGTTAGTCAAAAAAAAAAAAAAAAACGTGCCGACGTGTGACCTGTGGTTTAGTCAGAAGTGGCATGTCTGGACGCGGGACGCCGTCGGGGGTTGCGGCGCTGCCTATTGCGCCAGCCTTATTCAGAGGAAGCATCCACCCGCTGTTTCCATCCATGCATGACTGGCTCTGGTCATGCGCGCATATTACAATTAACAAGATACTATTGTCTGGTGCTTGACGTTGACGATGACATTTGCACCATACTGTCGGATTGGAAAGTGACACGTTCATTATATAAGAATTACGTGGCTGAATGCCGGTATTCCTATGTTCTCGTATGGTGTGTACTTGTATTATTGTATGGCTCTCGGTCTGAGACGGCGAGAGCCTCCGAAACCTTGCCGGCGCCAGCAAACCTACTGCGACCGCCGTGGAGGTCCCTGCTCCTCCGGAGACGTGGCGTGCCTGTCCGATGATCCGATTCGTTTGCACGCCATCCTGGAATGTCTTTTGCCGGTTGCCGCTCGCTCTGCCTTTGTACCATATATACCCATCCAAGAACACTGCTACCGTGCATCATCAACTCTGAGCTTTTCACAATTTCACTTTTCACCTGCAGCTAGTTTTACCTTCCGTTCCCGAGCTGCAACGACCGCGTCCGGAGGCCGACCGGCACCCGGCAGGCCGCCGGCGGCGGTAGATCCAGCCGCACATGCGCGACGGGGGCAGTGATTGTGGCCTGCCTGACACGGGTCACAGAGGAGGAAGCTGTCAAGCCGATCGCGCGTGCAGGCGCGCCCGAATAAATTCTCCGCCCCCCTCCTTCACCCGTAGCCGTAGGGGATTGAATTTGAAGGCAGTAAAAACATGGATATATACGGAGTGATTGCTACATTTTCACAATACGCAGTCAGCAACTAACGCTCCGGCCCAGGCCACGCACTGTCCAAATGGCTTGCAAGCTGGTAACGGCGTGCCGCAAAAGCTTTACATCTTTTCTGCGAAATGGCAACATGGAGTGGGAACTCTAAGCCGACGTCATCCAGGAATGCCCCCTGCAACACGGAGGATATGCGTCAGAAATTCTACGACAGCCAATTTTCGCAGTCGCAATGGACAAACATCTGCGAAACCCGACCCCTCTATGAATAATGCGCTACGAGCCACTCCTGCCTGGCTACGTGCCTATTTTTGGTACAGCTCAGTTTCATTGATGAAATACTCCTCAACCAAACTATAAAGCGTTCTAGATGCATTTTTTAATATATATTTAGATATAGTATATATTTAAGTGCATAATAAAAGCTACGTATCTAAAAAATTAAAACGTCTTATAATTTGAAACGGAAGGAGCAATTTGATTTGGCTTCGGTCTCATAAAGCAGTTTCACCGGTGAAGCTTAAGCAGCTTCTCATGGAAGATAATAGAGAGAAAGCCATGATAATCTAGTATTTTTTTAGCTTCACCTCTGTTCCTGTGCTTTGGGGAACTGAAAAATAATTTCATGAAAAATAATTTCATGAGAAGCTGAAAACAGCTCTGTGAAGTTGGAAAAAAACCCCTACCAAACAGCCCAAAGATGAAAACTACAAGCTTGTTTGGTTTTTTTTTGCAGAAAATTACCACGCAAATATTTGGTAAGCAAAAGTCATCAAAATGCTGGACAAAAACATTTGCCACGTATTTAACAAACTAAATGTGAAATGTTGGTAGTAAACCAAATGGTAGGAATTTTTTTTTTGTCTTCCCCACGTTTTGGCAATTAAATTTTACCCTGGTGTCTTGTGTAACCCCTCCATACTTAAAATTCAAGTCATTTTGGACATGGATTAGAATACCAAGGAGTGATTAATTAGGCTATATTTTTCCCTATTTGCTCTTATTAAGTATAATTTTGGGTTTCTTCCACACAACAAACACTCCTTGCCAGACTGGTTAGTGCTCCTCACATGAGGTGAGAGATGTTTGGTGTGTATTTTGCGCGGCGGGAGACAAAGGATCAGAGGTAACTTCATCCAAAACGTTGTTAAAGCATGCAAAACGACTTGAATTGTGAACGACATACTCATCCTTTTAAGGGCCCGTTCGTTCCTGGGGAACGGATGTCTGAAACAGTTCCGAATTGAATGACAGGTTTATTTATAGTAACAATGATCAGCTGGATTATTTCCGGCCCTCAATCCACCCTAAACGAAGTGAATTTTGAGTATGGAGGGAGTATTGTGAAGGAATGGAAGCAAGCTATGCCAAGATACAAATGAGTTGCTGTGTGTGTGAGAGAGAGAAGAAGCGCGCGTACACACAGGAATGGAGTGAACCGTATTGAATGCGTGCATCTCATCTCATTGCACTCCAACGAGCCGCTCTGCATTGCATGTACGCACGCACGCCTACTGGCCTCATGATTGGAACTCAGAGACGTCCCTGGCACTGGCAGTGGCCGTTCTGGCAGCCGCTGCCGTCGCCGGACGTCCGGCCGGGCGGCACGCCATGAAGGGGAGGGAATCATGCGGCCGTGCAGCCATTTATCGGTGAAACGAAGCAGCTCTGGTCGGGTCAGGTCAGGCCACGGCGCCATTGCAGTGTTGGATTCGATCTGCTGCATCTGCTAAGTGCCAAGCGAGGCCGCCGACGGGAGGACGTACGAGTCCTTGACAACAGCAGAGAAAGGAACAGTTCCTTCAGGCAACGCAGTTCTCGACACCTGGCCTGGCAGGCACCTTTGTTTAGTTCAGGAACTGCTTGCAAAATCAGCGAGGCTGAAAATCACGCGAAGAAAAATCACCGACGCTGAAACATTTGACCCAAGGAAGTGCACAAACACAGCACCGGGAAAACCAAAAACGATAAAACTGCAGTTTTTCACCCACATCTCGCGCCAGGACCAGCAGGGGAGGGTGGTGGAAACCTGCTTTCTACCGCATCTCATCTCATCTTTTCACCAGCTTTTATCCGGATCTCGCCGGAAACCAGCCAAATAAATCCAGCGCTGGTGATGGCCAGCTGCATGCAGTGAAGACGCGCTCGGCCCACCGTATCATGGTCCAGCCCGCCGCCTGCTGCTTGCTTCCAACAGCTGACCTGAACCTCAATCTGCTGTGTCTGTTACTACTCAGCATCATGCAGCAAGCAACGGCACCAGCCACCACGGCAAACAGAAAGAGCCATTCAACATACAGGGAGAAGACACAGATCTGACACAGGATTTAAGCGGCTTAGGAATGGTTCACTTTTTTCATTCGACGCGATTTCGACTTCGACTCAGAGTTGCAGGAGAAAAGCTAACTGCACAAGGCAAGAAGCATGTACCAAGAACTAGAACAGACTGGGAGAATACTGACATTATTGTTTAACTCTATTAAACGACTACCGAAAGGATATGGTTCTGAAAACCCTGAGCAGGTCTGGATGTGTCTCAAACTGTAAAAAGACGAAGCTGGTTCTGAGTTCTGACGAAAATCAAACCCTGACTGAGACTGGAAACATCAGTTCTTTTAAACTTTCCCTTAGCTACATTGTTGTTTTTCTTTTTGGCGGTTGGTTGAGCGGCTTGTTGTCCTTGATCACGGCATCACGCCATGGAACCCAGCGGATTGCAGGAGCACGGACTTGATCTCTTCTGGCAGAAGCCCAGGGCCTTCGTTGCATAGCTGCAGTGAGGAAAACAATAAGGGTCCTTGTCAGTTTATTTTCATGTGGCAACAAATAACAAATTCCAAATTTCAAGCCGTTAGAACATGACAGCTTCTGCATGATCTTCACGGTCCTTTTGGATAGCTATGTAAGTGTCAGATTCTGACAGTGAGAATGAGAAGAAAAATATGTGCAATTGTATTGTACATTACCTCAGCCTTGAAGATGTCTAAGGAAAATCCATTGAAGCAACTGATAACAGCTTGCTGGACATCGAGTCCGAGGCCTTCGATCGCCCTCATAGCAGAAAGCAGAAGACCAGGCCTGCGAGCGCAGAGCATGTGGATGTTGACCGCCCGGCCTTCCCTCATCCTAACCTCAACCTGTTGCAGCAGTAGAAATGGCACAAGTCAGCTAAATGCTTCAACCAGTATGACAACAGTGGCACAAACTGATGCATAAATCATTCATATTACAGCTGAAGCTATATTCTGTTTAACCGAAGATCGTGTTACGACAAGTTCTGTCAAACCATTTCATATGAAGGAAAGCTACATATAAAGTGTGTGTTCAGAGAGAACATATACTGACCCTTGGTTGCTGAGAAGTAGGGCTAGGCAATGCACTTGGGCACAGCTCTTCCTTCACACGAGATGGTAGAGTGGGCAGCGTCGGAGTCAGAGGGTGGAAGCTTGTGGGTGTTGGAGGCAGTGAGGCTGTGGAAGGGGATGACTCCAGCTCATTCTGAAGATCATTGATCTTCTGCAGCAGCTCCTTCAGGTACTCGATTGCGTCACCGAGAATGGAGGCCCTGTCCATCTACCAGTTGCAAACAGAAACAATCAGTTCATTGGCCAGTCAAAAGGAGAAAGTAACACTAGTGATATATATGAATATAATGAAGGATGTACCAACAAGACTAAAGGTGAAGTACTCAGCACAAAACAGATAACTGAAACTAGTCATGCAGAAAGCACTATTACACCATAACTGATGCCTTTCTGTTCTAGTGTGGAAAAAAGAAAGAAAGAAATTCTCCCTTTGATCTGAACCAAATTGTAACAGCAGAGATATAGGGAAGATCGTTTATTGTATTTGTGCAAGCTGTTGCATGATTGACTCGAGACAGAGAAAGAGGCCCTGGAATCAGGCAAAGGACACTGTGATGGATAGTGATCTGTATGCAGGACAGCTTATGAACAGAGATCATGGACAGATTGAAATCTAAATTTTGCTATGCTAGTCATGAAAACACACGACAAAGAGGTTCCCTTAACCGCAACAATAACTGCAAAAATAGAACATGGGCTACTTTTCTAAGAGAAAAGAAAGAAATGCACATAATCAAAGTCACAACTTATAGGCTGGGACCATAACCGAAGCACTACCCATAGCATCATCAAAACCTAAAGAGAAACTGAAATGGTAGATGCTAATCCATATATCTTTTTGAACTAAAGGATGTGCAACTTATAGAACCTAGAAAGCTAGGCTATCCCTAGATGAACACAGAAAAGTCTTAAATGGCTAAATCCTGCATACACATCTGCCATCTTGGTAAAATTTGCACCTGAGATGTGCGTACCAACAGTTCATGACAAAAAAATCATCACAACATGGACAACAGCTTGACAAAATCAATAGCATAAACATACCAAAATGATATGAACACACGTTACAATGCCAGAGCCTCGATGCTAACCATGTGAGAATTCTTCTTATCAAAAAAAAAAAAATCATCTTGCATCTACAATTCTAAGGGAACAACTGCACCTTATATGAGCGACATCTCTACAAACAATTTACTGCACCATGGAGTACACTAGCTTCACATATCAATTCCATGAAACATCTACCAATATAAGCATACATAGTAATGCTAGATGCTAATTGCTACCAAAACGCGGAGAATTCAGCTAAATTACGACCTACAATTCACAGTAACCGATTAACAAATAGATGCAAGGGTACAATTCTCACCTTGCTGATCTTGGGCACGACAGACCGGAGCATGTAGAGCCGGTCATTAAGCTTCTTCCGGCGACGGCGCTCCGCCATGAGGTTCTTGGCCGGCAACCCCTTCCTCTTACCCTTCCCGTCGCCGGTTCCGCCGCCTGTCACCGTGCTGTTGGCGTTGGAATCCTTACCGTCCTTCTTTTCACTGTCCTCGACGCCCCTGGCGTCCTCCGAGTCGTAGTTGAGCCCGGACGCGTCGATGCTCCCGCCGTCATCGTCGTCGGCGTCGTCCAGCACCGTGTCACCGCCACCGGCCGACGAAGCTCCCGCAGCCGCGGTGATGGCCTCCGCCTTGCGCTTCTTGTCGTCATCCTCCTCGCCGGCGTTGCGGCGGAGCGCGCGCTTCTGGAACAGCGTCGGCTGCGCGCCCACGGGCGGGAAGATCTCCAGCGGGCGGAGCACAGCAGCCTTCCCGCGCCCAGAGAACGGCGCCGTCAGGGGCACCGAGGCAGGAGGGGGCGCCGCGGAGGAGGAGCCGGCGCCGTTGTTGAACATGTCGAACCCGCCGAGGCCGCCAAAGTCCGGCATTTGCGCCGGCGCTGCGCCGAAGCCGCCGAACGAGCTGAGGAAGCCGGCGTTCCCTGCCGATATCAGAGAAAAGGACGCGGAATTCGACGCATTCCCGGCGCCAGCGAACGGGACCAGGTCCCCACCGGCCCCGCCGCCGAGGCCGCCGAGGCCGAGGTCGAACCCGTGGACGTCGAACGTCGCGGCGCCGCCAACGTTGAAGAGCGAGAACATCTGCGACCCGGCGCCGGGCGCCGGCGCCGGCGGCGCCAGGAGCAGGTGCCCCTGCGCGCCGGCGGCGGCGGCCGCAGTCACGGGGTCGAAGCACCAGTCGTCATCGAGCAACGCCGGCGAGCTGAAAACACCACCGCCCCCCATGGCAGCGGCGGAGGCCAGGGCCAGGAGGTTCTGCTCCTCGTGACCCTGCGCCGGCACCGTCACCAACCCCATGGGCGTCGGCGGAGGCGCGTGCTGCTGCTGCTGGTCGTCGACGTCCTCCGGTACCCAGAGCGGGTTGCCGAACGGCGGGAGCATGACGGCGCCGCGCGAGGGCGAAGCGTCGTCCTCGCTTTCTTGGGGTGGCAGAGCTGCAGAGGACAGCGGGCGGACCAGCGGAGTCGTCTGAGTTCTCTGTGGCAGAGCAGTGCGCCAGTGCCTGTATATGTATCGAGCCGAAGTACTGTGTTCTGGGCCGTGAAAAGACGATACTTACGCTTACGCTAGACCGTGGAGTACGCGTTTGTTGCATCTCTCGCAAGCAATCCGGACCTTGCGCTAAAGATCGGACGCTTAAGACGATACTTACGCTAGACCGTGGAGAGTGGACAAGCATGAAAAGACGAGACTGCCCTTTAGCCTGAAATGCCTCTTTTGCTTCTACCACGACACGTTTGTTTTCTGGCCTCTCTCGCAAGCAATCCGGACCTTACGCTCAAGGTCGGACGTTTGAGAAGATACTTGCGCTACACAAGCTTGCCTCGAGGGCAAGCAAACATGCCGCTACTCTAGACAAAGTTGTTTGGCTCTAGGATAGAAATTAATAATGCCAGCTTGTATAGGCTTCATATTGATAGACAAACATTAAGTTGTGACAAAATAGTATAGCGACAGAAAACGTAAACTAATATTAGTAAAAATATATAGCATTCCAAAAAATAGCTTAGCTGTGTATCTATATCTTTAGATGTAAAGTATAGGTTGCTTGTTTAAAAAAAGCATGGAGACAAATAAGCGATATTTCTAAAATACACCGAGATATCTTGCTGGCCTATGTATTGTAAGTTGTTGATGGAGGAAAATACATCACGTTGATCACCTAATGTCGTAGGATTTGTCGTCCGATTAGAAATCAACGTATCATGTGGGACAAGAATTTTATACTGGTTGAGGTACGGGGTATTCTACATCCACTGGAGAACAACTTCCTTATACGCGAGTGGGGTGCCGATAATACGCGGTGGAATGGTACGAACCAGACTTCCAATCAAGGGGACCCTACACCCCCTTGTATAGTCCGAGGGTAGGGCTTACATCGAAGAACCTTGATTGGATCCGATTTGTTTCATAGTTTATTACAATGAGGAATAGGGTTTGGATATAGTTAGATCGTTATAGATTCATTGGTTTTTAAGCATATCTAGTCGATGTCTTGTCTACCGAGTCGTTGAGATACTCCATCCGGTTTAGGAATTGGGCCTATTCGGCCCACCCCGTCTTGGTTGGACATTTTCTCTTGCGGTGAGGGTATCATTGGCCCGTACTATCGATAGTAGCCCACAGGGTCTTCATGAGGAACTGGTCGCCAACACGGTCCTCTGATCTCGCTTGTTGTCTCATGTGCTGTGGGTCAACGATCTTTTGAGTATTGCTCATTGTCATGACCCAAAAACCACCCAAACAAAACTTTACTGAATACCCTTGTTAAGGTTAAGTTGAGCTTCCGTCCTAACCCTCAAGCTTCAACCCAAGGTGCAACCTAGACAAAGCCTCCTACATCCCTATGTTTGGACAAGATTTGATCCTTGGTTCGACCTCATGATGCATCTTTATCGACCATCCCCTATTCCTAAATGGTTGTCCTTAGTCATTTGACCCTAACCTTCTCAAGAATGATACTTGATTTTTGAACCTAGGAACCCTAAGTGGAACCTTGCCCGACCCAAGATCCTCAAGAATTCCTGCCAATTCGAGCCATAAGGGAGCAGAGCCTTACCAGAAGATCTCACCAACCTGTGAGCAAGGTAGAAGCAAGTGATGTATGCACCTAAGTCAAAGGGGGTCAAAACAATCATCAAGGTCGCCTTTTTGCTAAAGAAGGAGAAACCCATCGGAATGACTTGAGTCAAGAGTCGCCCAAACATCAGAGGACCCACCATAGATCATGGATATGTCCTAAAAAGCCTCTCCAAGTCAACCAAGTCAAGAAGCTCAGCAATATGTACATTTAGGGTTTAGTAGATGGTCTATCCATAGTATACCCATGCACTGTTCGCTAGCCAACCAGCTAACAAGTTAATCAGTTAGCCTATCAGTGTTTACATGGCCCTAATGGACTATCTTTCACATCACACTAACTGTTCATCACATCACAATGGACTGTTCGTCGGAACACTAGTGGCACTGCAACATGCAAATGTTGTGTTGTCACCCTTTCCATCCCCTTGACCCCCACTTATCAGCTCATGGAGAGGCTACAAAACCACTAGATCAGCCCCTTCTCCACTCATCTCATTACCACTCTTATCTCTCCCTCTCTCTATACTAAGAACAAGATTAAAAGAAGAAAGAACATGAGCAAGGTGAGTGAGATAGATTGAGGGTTGGAGGAATGCTCATGAAGACATGGTGAAGAAGATGAATCTCAAGAAATCAACACAAGCTAGAACAAACCCTAGTGTGAGCTCATGATCTCTCTCTCAATCTCTCTCATGGTTCATCTCAAATCTCTAATCCTTCTATGTTTTCATGAAGGAAGTGCCTCTCCCCAAGTGATCATCTTCATCCTCTTCTTCCTTGGTGTCCTCTCCCTCATGGATGTGGGGAATCCATGAAAGGTGAGCTCGAGCATGAATGCTCTAGATCTAAAGTCCCCATGGGTAAGCTCTTCATCCCTCTCTTGTCTCCATGTAGTTCAATCTTTGTGTTGAAGATTTCCTTCAAAAAATCTTTGTGTTGAAGATAAACACCATGCATGTCACTTTCACAAACCCTAGCTTCCCTTAGTGCATAATGCACCTAAGTTTGGCACAAGTCACCCTTACACAACCATAAGCAGCGCCCCTAGTTCACCGCAAGTACAACCCACACTTTGTTGTTGCAACACAAGAGAAACCACACCACATAGCCTTTATTGACCATCAACAAACTATCTGTGATGTCCCCAGAGACTATCCGTCGAACGGCGAACCATCCAAGATGCAATAAAACAACCTACCAGACTTTTACACTCAACCACGCAAAACTTTAGCCTAGCTAGATGGAATATCAGTCAACACTTCCAGAGACACCTAAAGCTAAAACCCTCGACCTTGCACAGCTAAACCGTCCTTCGCTCTTAGATAGACTATCCGTTAACCAGACGGATTGTCTGTCCCACACTGACGGACTGTCTGCTCGCCCTTTCCAAAGGCACTGCAATCTATCATTGCCTTGATGGACCATACATCACCTCTTCATGGATTGTTAGTGGAAACATAGCTGACACATATATACTTAGTTGTCCACTACTTAAGATCATGAATTAAGCACCTTCTACACAAGTACACCTAGTTCTCGTTCAATCTACCTTGATTTCTAACCTAACAACAGCTACCTAACCTCTCTCACATGTACTCTTTACATCTCAAATCTCTTTAAGATCATCTACTTGTTCATCAAACATCTTCGATCATATCTGAAAGTGCATCTAGGCCTCTAAATGGGTTTTGGTGTATTGATGATAGTGCAATTAGGGGTCTAATGATATTTGTGAGATGTAGACAGATTATAATTGATTGTGGTTAAATGACAACACAAGGAGACTCCCCATTTCAAAGGATGCAGCTCGTCGACAAATGAAGGCTTACTTTTATTTTTGTTTTTTGAATTTGATTATAGGAAAAGTTTACTATCAAGGGGAATACAAATTGGTATGGTAAAGGGGAACCAAATGCTCATCATCTATCCAAATGACTAGCAAAGCCCCAAGCCAAAGCTAGAAGAGCCTAATTCCTATTATGTTCTAAATTTCATGGATGTTTCGTGTCATGGAAGTTCGACGTTTGTCTGTGGAACTTCCACACTTAAACTATTAACCATCTAAAAAAGGGGAGAGTACAAATGCTCTCTACCCTTCTTCTCCAACTGCTATCTCTGCCATTACTCCTCCACTAGGATGTAGACAAGCCCTCTCTCCCCCGACTGAAGGCTCCCTAACCTCTCTTGTGTTCTTGGTGAAATTCCTTGCGAGATTGGGATTAGAAGTGAGTTAGAGAGCTTTCAAGCAAGAGATCTAGATCTAGAGCACTTGTTTCTCCCTCTAGCTATTGTTTTGTGTTTATTACTCTTGGAGATTCTCCTATATGGCTAGAGGTTTCCCAGGAGCTCCCAACTATTGTGGTTGAGCACCGGAAGTTTTGTATTGACCCAATGAAGCTAGTGGAAACCCTCGAGAGTTGATCTTTGTGCTTCACTTGAGAAGAGGATAGGGTTGGAAGAGATCCAAATCCTTGTGGCTTCCTCAACAATGAGGACATAGACAAGCCTTAGTGGCTCTGCTGAACATTAGGTTAAATCTTGTGTCTTGTCCCTTGTTGTTGTTGATTTGATGTTCTCTATCTTATTTGAATCCATTTCTAGGATTTACACCCGATCAACTCGTACAGTCTCTTGTAGTTGTAGGGTTGTTGTTGTGCTAAGGGAAACAAATACTACAAGAAGGCTTGATATTTAACTTGATCTAAGTTTGAACTCTGTTCAATTGAGCAATTGGAGTTTTCAGCTGGGACATGCGAAACTTCCGTGGATTTGTCCGAAACTTCCATCCCACATAAGTTCCATAGGAATCCATGGAACCTCCGCATTTTGCTAATCTGGCACCGTCTCAAACCCCATGGGCATCAGCGGTGATGCATGCTACTGTTGGTCATTGCATGAGGCGCCCTCGCTTTCTTTGGTTGGTAGAGCTGCAGAGGACAGCGGGCAGACTAGTGGAGTCATCTAAGTTCTCTCTAGTAGAGTAGTGGGTCGATGCTTGTATATGTATGGAGCTAAAGTACTATGTATTGGCACCATGGAGAATGGACAAGCATGAAATGATAAGACTGCCCTTCAACTTGAAATCTAGGAGTACATGGGCCTCTTTGCTTCTTTCGCACGTCTGGTTCGTAGCCTCCCAAGCAAAGATCCAGGCCGCAACGCTCAAAATCAGATGCTTGGAGCAACGCTTGCGCTAGGCAAGCTTGGCCAGGAGACAAGCAAATAGGCCACTACTCTAGGTAAAGTTGTGAGGCACTTGGGTGGGAATTAGTATGCCAACTTGTGTAGATGTCATACTG